ACCCCCACTAACCCCCCAAAAAAGACACCCACCCAAGCCACTACAATTTTGGGATGTATCTGGTAGCATGACATTTATTAGGAATAAAGACTTCTGAGTTCTGGTGCATTTCTGCATGCGGGGGTCATTGTGTTACATCTATGCGGTATCTAGGTTTATTTTTCAGTGATTTTTGGTCAACTGTAGCACAAAAACGGCTGCACCAATCAACAGGAAATTTGGGAGGGCTGTAGATGAGTCCGACCTACACTGCGCCAGCCAACGGTTTTACATTAGAGCCCATATTTGAGGACGGGGTTCCTTTCAAATGGGGGTGTCAGGACATGCAAAAATGCTTATAACTCAGAAACTGTTCAACATAAAAGCTTCGGATTTCTTTTGTTGTTTAGTTCTGTTGAAGCTCTATCCATCAGGCCCACAATCAGTGCCCCTCACCCCCAGACCCCCAATTTGTCTGAAAAAGTTGTTTTCGTACTGTTCATTGTTTTTTTTTTTTTAATTCAGTGATTTTTGGTCAACCGTACCACAAAAACAGCTGCACCAATCAACATGAAATTTGGCAGGACTGTAGATGAGTCTGACCTACACTGCACCAGCCAATGGTTTTACGATAGACCCCATATTTGAGGAGGGGGCTCCTTTCAAATTGGGGGTGTCAGGACATGCAAAATCGCTTCTAACTCAGAACGTGTTCAACATAGAAGCTTCAGATTTCTTTTGTTGTTTAGCTCTGATGAAGCTCTATCCATCAGGCCCACCAATCAGTGCCCCCCACCCCCCTGGACCCCCAACTTATCTGAAAAAGGGGTGTCTAACAATCAAAAATGCTTATAACTCAGAAAGTGTCAACATAGGAGCTTCAAATTTCTTTTGATGTTTAGTTCTGATGAAGCGCTATCCTTCAGTCCCATTAATCAGTGCCCAGCCACCCCCACCCCCCGCCTGGACCCCCAATTTATCTGAAAAAGGTGTATGGTTATAGCTCAAAAACTATTAAACATAGGAGCTTCAGATTTCTTTTGTTGTTTAGCTCTGATGAAGCTCTATCCATCAGACCCACCAATCAGTGCCCCCCACCCACAGACCCCCAATTTATCTGAAAAAGGTGTATCTGGACATACAAAAAGGGTTATACCTTAAAAGCTATTAAACATAGGAGCTTCAGATTTATTTTGTTGTTCAGCTTTGATCAGAGGCTATCAATCAGGTCCAATACCCCAACCCCCAAAAAAAGACCCCCACCCAAACCACTACAATTTTGGGATGCATCTGGTAGCATGACATTTATTAGGAATAAAGACTTCTGAGTTCTGGTGCATTTGTGCATGCAGGGGTCATTATGTTACCACTATGCGGTATCTAGTTTAGTTTGAAATTGAGGCCTTCCTTACAGAAGCCCTCTTTAGCCTCTAATAGTAGGGGTGTCACGATTCTCTAAATCTTTGATTCGATGTCATTTCCGATTTTAGGGTCACGATTCGATTCGATTCTCGATTTTCTTTTTACAGCAGAGAGGCCTACTTACATCTTATTTCAAAAGTTGGGTTTGATATAAGTGTTACAAGTGATCTGTAATACACCGCATTAGGCACTAATGGTCAAATTTAAATAATTTAATTAAGATAAATGTAACAATCTTGTTCACAGTAGAAAACAACAAAAACAAACAATAACAAAAATGAGAGGTCACAGAGACAGACTGCTGCCATCTAGTGGCTTCTTCTTTGGTAGCAATGTGCAGTGCACTATTAAAACAGCAATGTGCAACATTMCAAAATAAATTATAAAAAATACAGGAAGAGCCATGTGCAAAATAATAGAACAAACAGAGCCTAACTAAACTCTATCCTACAAAATATCCTAAAAATAAGACTTTTTCGCTCCCTGAGAATGACAACTGTCATTTTTTACATTCTTTCAAGTTTTTTCTTTAACAAAGATACAGTATATTATGAACGTTAACTGGAGAGAAAAATGCTCCATGAGGTACCAAAACTATTAACATATTTGAGGCGAGACAAAACTGTTATTTTAAAAGTAACAGTTATTTTTTCTAGCCTTAATAGTTTTACATTTTCAAGTTTTTCTTTAAGAAGACGAGAATGTCCACATTCTCTGGAGAAAGGGCGACTCTTTGAGCAGTCACAATGTCCCCTGCTGTGGAGAACACTCGCTCACTTGCTACACTTGTTGCTTGCACAGCAAGATAATATTTGGAAAGCTTGGAAAAATTTGGGTACTGATGCTCATTGTTCTTCCACCATTTCAGTGGATTTGCATCCACAGAAATGACTTTGCCATCCTGTATAGCTCAATCTCCTCCTTGACAACATCAGGCCATAATTTTGGTGTTGTTGGTGTAGTGGGGGCTGAATTATAAAAGTCGCCAAACAGTTCACTCAGTGTGGGTCTTTTTGCTGGGGGGCTGCCTTCACTGGATGCTGCAGTTTCTGGGTCTTCTGCAGGATTTTCGTTGGTCCCTTGTCCTGGGGCCTGAGTTTAAAAAAAGAAAATAAATTTATGAATGTATCAGTATTATTTCAACTATAAGATAAATTTGCATCACTAATAGTGGGCATTTCATCATATGAATTCACATACCTGTGTGGGATGCTTTTGTAGGATTTTCTCAACCAGACTGTTGAATATCTTGTTCCGAGAGGGGTCATCCAGATGGGGTAAAAACTTGAACCGAGGGTCCAAGGCAGTGCTCTCATTCAGGAACTGTTGAAGACTGGGATTTGAATACCTCCCTCCAATGTTGGTTGCAATAGCTGATTTAACATCCTTCACAATCTGTGAATCTGTGCCACTGTGTTTCATTGCTGTGAGAATGGAGTGTTTAAATGGCAGGATCATAGGCACAGTGGGCTGCTGTTCTGAGCTCAGTAGAGTTGTGATTGTTTTCATGGGCTTCAGAACCTCAACCACATCCTCCAGAACAGTCACATCTTGATCAGAGAGTGTGATTAGATCTTTGGCATTCATTTTAACATCTTTTTCTGTGAGTGCAGAATAAACAGCAGCTTGTTTCTCTAGGTAGCGTGTAAGCTTGTCATAGCTGGAGTTCCACCTTGTAGCGACATCTTGAATCAGCTTGTGAGGAGGAAGCTGGAGCATCTCTTGTTTGGCCTTTAAGACAGCTGCTGCAGTTGTGCTCCTATGAAAGAAGGTGACCACTCTCCTGACTTTGCCCAAAAGACAAGAAATCTGGTTTACTCCCAACACCTTCTGGGATGCCAGGTTTACTGTGTGTGCAAAACACCCTATATGCGGTGACAATCCAGCTGCATTTGAAGCATTGACAATGTTTTTGGCATTATCTGTGGTCACAGGGATGGTTGTATTTTGTCTATCCAGTTTGCATTCTAATACTACTTCCTGTAGCACTGATGCCAAATTATCACTTGTGTGTGATTCATGGATAGGGCGAGTTTGAAGGACTGGACTTTCAATTTCCCATTYATTACTGACATAGTGTGCTGTCACTGTAATGTAGCTCTCATTTGCTCTTGTGGTCCAGCTATCTGTGGTTTTAGCAACTAACTCTGCATTACTTAGACCCCTCAAAACATTTTCTTTAGTGTCTTCAAACATGGAGGGCAAAACTTTGGTTGTAAGATGCGACCTGCTGGGAATACTGTAGCGTGGCTCAAGAGTTCACTAATTAAATGTTTAAACCCAGCGTTTTCCACCACTGAATAAGGCTGCAGGTCTGCTGCTATGAATAGCCCTATAGCGTTAGTTATTGCTTTAGCGCGAGCTGAGGTCTGTGCCAATTTTACTCCAAACAAAGATTGAATMGTTGTCTGGACCAATGATGATGTTTTTCCAGTCAAAACAATGTCTTTGTGATGCCGACGAACGTGTCCAGCCATGTTCGTAGTGTTTCCCATAGCTGAGTAAGGTACACGCGTGTAGCACATGAACGCTGTTGACATAACTCACCGGGAACGCAGAATACTTCCATACTCCTGATTTAAAAGAAGCAGGAGCGGCCTCCAGCTCGGGCTCTGAACTTGCCATCTCGGCAGGTTAGCTAACTAGTGGCGTCGGCTACAGTGCGGCCACTGCGTCACTTTGCATAGCATGCTGCTGCGTCATTTGCGTAGTGTGGGTGCTTGCGTAGCYTAGAGGGAGGGGTCGTCGATCCTCTTTTTGACTTCAAGGCTCGAGGTCGTGACATAATTTCGATCAATTTCAATTAAATATTGAAATCGTGACACCCCAATAGATATAAACCCTTATATCTACTCTTTAGTTAAAGCAATGACCAACTCCTTAACTACTACCTGTAGCTTATCTAAAACATGATAACTAACACTCAGAGGCACACACAGGTTTAGCCTAATGTAAAACCTCAACTTTAGGTCAACCTAAAACCGCATAAGTGCACAACACATAGTAACCAGAAGGGCATCAACTGGAAACAACTCAGCCTTCAACAACCTCTATGATGGCCTACCTCCTCTGCGAAGACTCTACAAGTGTCAACACTCTCGACCTGCATCCTTCTGGGGGTACCCATCTTCACGCTGTTCCATTGGTATCTTCGCTCCTGTTGGTGATCTCCATCGTCGATCCAGAGATCCCCTGTTAACCTGCAACCTTCTAGAGAACGACTCTCGAAATGGGGGTTCTAGTGCTTTACTTCGCTATGCTGTTCCAGAAATTGGTTGAACCCAGATCAACCAAAACAATTGCAATGGATTACCCTTGTGAATTACATTATTTCCTTGGTGGATTACTTTTGCTTCCAGTGGATTACAGACTCTGTCGTCCAATGGATTTAAAGTTTTGCCTCAAGGGGAGTTACCTACTGACATTATGGGAATCATCTCTGTTTGGATTACCTTGGATTATACCGTTTCACCAATCAGATTATTTCAAGAACAAAGAYTTTCGAGGTGTTCCCGTTTTGTGTTGCAACTCATCACCATYGAKGGGTGATGACTYGCAAAAGGGGGGATATGAAGGGGTCACCTCGATTGAAAAAATTAAGGAAACCATCTTGGACCTCAGACCTCTGATGGGCCTTTGAAGGGACAAAAACTCTGTTCCACTTAGAACTGAATTTAGGCCATCTCAGGTCACCTTAACTTGTCAAAGTTAACATTATGGGAATCATCTCTGTTTGGATTACCTTGGATTATACCGTTTCACCAATCAGATTATTTCAAGAACAAAGAYTTTCGAGGTGTTCCCGTTTTGTGTTGCAACTCATCACCGTTGATGGGTGATTTCTCTTGGATGGGTGAATTCTCTTTTTCTTTATCAGATAATAGACAGAAGAATCTTCTTCTTATTTGATTTATGGTTCTCTTAACTGGAAGTTATTACGCATTTTGATAATCAGATAATATTTATCAAGGTTACAGGAGAAAAGAGAACAAGTCTCTTTTCTCCCTCAGTATGGTTTCAGCCATGAATGGATTTTCTGTGCAAAAATCTTTTTTAACTAAACTAATCTTTATGGTTTAAAGTTGATGAAACATCAATGTTTTACTTGTCTGAATCTTATTTGCAAATGTTTTGAATTTGAAGCAATTCATTTTTTCAGGTATGTTTTTAAAGAAGTTCTCATTAGATAATAATTAAGTAGGTCACATGTTCTGTTTCTGAACTACACAGAATCAATCATTTTTCTTCAACTTCAGGAGGTGACGGCAAGTCTCTGTACAAAAAATTTCTTTGATATCTTCCTTTTTATAATCTAACCTCTGAAGGCAGAACTAGGAAACTAAGCTTCTTTAGTAACTAACAGTTTCTGCTCAGGAAGCAGAAAGTGGTGGACCAGTCTGTGAAGATGGACAGTCTCTCTCAGCTAGATTCTCCCTGGAGTCAGAGCTAAGCTGTGTCGGTTCTACCCCATTATTTCCAATGGGAAGATGCACGGCTGAATAGGACCACCGCCTGGTCTGTCCAACTTGTTTTAAAATCATCCTGTCCAAAGTTTTTATTTTGAAATCGGGATCCAATTTGGCTTTGCCTTTCTTCCTACGGCTTGATGCGGATGTACGCGAGTCTGAAAACACGTCTTGAAGGTCCAGCTCTGTGGACGGTCCCCGAACGGATTTTCTAAGCAGAGACCCAAAATACCTACCAGGGGACTGACCTCATCTTTAAAGGCAAAGCTAGCTGTAACATGAGCTTTGCTATCTGGCTGATGATGAGAAGAGAAACGCCTTGCCTCTCTGGGGTTAACCCACATCAAATAAGTTAAAAGTTAGGAAAGCTAACACCTTACTTTCCTCCTTTTCTTAAAACCTACTTTGCCAAACTTGTTATTTGCCTCAAATGTCTGGTATTCATCATTCAAGCTTGACGTTTGTGTTCTATTTMAGTGCCTGATTGACAATTAACGAAGCTCGACGTGCTTGTTATTGTTGGTTATAAACTTTTACAGGAAATTGATTGCTCACAATTAAGTGTACTGTAGTGATTTTGTCTGATTACTGACTAAGAGTCACTTTTGTGTGTCCATTCACTTTTTACTGGAAGAATATTTTACCGAAAATAAAAAGATCCTTGCAAAAATAATATCCTTATAGCATTGTTAAAAGAAGATAAACATTTACACCCGAACGGTGATAAAGTTGCAATATTAAATGCATCCCTGGGTGTGGAACATTTTCATACCTGTACAATCTTGCACATCATTGTCATAAAGACAGTTATCTTGATCATGATACTTTTTCCCCAAAGACAGGCATCTGTTTCAACTTAGTAAAATGAATGAAGACATCAGTTCTTTTAAAGTGTGGGATTTAGGGAGGAGCCTGACATATGAAGAAGGGTTTATAAAGTTTCAAGCTTTGTAATACTAGCTCTTCTTGTTTTTAAGATGACTCTCCAAAAACTTGTGTTTGGGTATGTTGTAGTGATTATTTTGACAGGCAAAGGTAAGTTTGAAGTTTCCTTGTTATATGTAAAAGAAAAAATATATAAACTTTTTTACATTGACGGTGGGAAAAACTAAACTATGTAATTTTCTATACAGAATATTTCTTCTTTATTCATGATTAGTTTTAATGTGATCAAAATATATTTGTCACATATAAAGCACTTGAGCTTAACAGCTATATCATATGTAATTTCACACTGTATCATAATTGTATAGCCCTTTTTTAAGGGTATCACATTTTTCATGAAAATCAAAAATAAAGTTTTAGTACCAATGAAATGTTTGAACACACCTAACTTTTTGTCTTTCATTGAAAAGTGAAGAGAGGAGTTGGAAATACTCTGTAAATGTTTAAATACCAGGAAGCTTAATTTTAATATTTGTTCTACGTGTACTTTCTCTTTGTACATTGAATACTTTCGCTTATTTTTTTAGGACTAAACACCTCTAAAATCATTAACATACTGTAATAAATACAGAAGAAGTATCTCCAACATTTTATTGCCCAAAACTGTAGTCATTAGATCCTGTTTAAAAGGAACAGCCATGGATTTGTAGTATAAGGTCATGGGGTTTTTAAGTCCAGTTTAAGTCACTCTTCTCACACTCAAACCTACTGCCCTTGTATGCAAGAAATATCTAATTAAGGCTAAACATGTTTAAAAACACAAATATTGTACACAGTAAATAAGTAAATGTATTGTTATTATTATTATTTAAAGCTAGTTTTTTCAGGGGTTTTGCCAAAGAGTGTTTTATGTATTTATGATGAGGAGTTGGGACCTAAAACTGGAACCATCTGTGGGGTCTATGGTCCCATTCTGGCTTCAACATCTGGGTTCCAGTCAGATGTTTAGTTTTTGATCAATGCATGAAAAGAATATAATCTAATACCATTTAGACTACATTGCCTTAGCCTTTTACACTGAAAACATTGTGTCTTGCTAAATAAAAAAAATACTACAGCACTTGTTTTCTTTTTCACACTTAAAAAGTGATTTGTTAAATGTATTTGACCAAGTTATGTCAGTTGTTTCAGTCAGCTGAGAGGGGTAAATGTAACAAAATTTGCTCAAGAAACAAGTAAATCTCTTTACTTTTAAATCCCATTGAGATCACAGATCTATTTTTTCAAGGGTGGCCTGGGTCTGAAGGCAACATTTTGTACATATGTTTGTGCTTTTAATAGTCTTTATGTGCTTACATTTTGTATTATATTTAAATTTCTTTTGATTAAAAACATTCTTTTGTTTTATATTTCAGGTTGTCATTCACAGCAACCTGGTAAGCAACATGTTGTAAAATCTACATTGTTTGATTGAAACATTAGCAAATACACAAAAAAATTCTTCACTCTGGTCTCGAAATATTATCTAAGTTGTAACTCAGCCAGACTCACTATCATTTTTCTTTCTTTATAAAGGGTTTTATTACCATGAAAATCTAGAATTTTATCAACAAGGTGTCATATTTATTTAATTGTAAGGTATACATAAACTAAATGAACTTTAGAGACTTCCCCAGAAAATAGCTCCGTATTTCAAACCAATAAAAGCATTTATTTGTAGTTATCTTCTACAATTTTTTTTTCAATTCTAATGTGTGAAATCTTTCTCTAATTTTGATTTCATAATAGAAAAATAGCAAGTGGGTCATTTCAAAATAAGAGACACATCATACACTGTAATGT